TCAATTGTGTTGGAAGCTATAAGTTTATTGAAACACTCTAGAATCCGTTCCTGGAACCAACCAGTACTTAGCAATAAGTGTTAAGTTTCTTGCTCAATGAAACAGCAGCTTGTCCCTGACGAGGTATGAATACTTAGATACTAGTCCGGTGCGTTGCCACTCCGTCATGCCAACACACAAATCATTTGAAGAGGATGGCAACCTTTTAGATAAAACATATGCATTTTGATGCATGAATTCATCTTAAAATACGCGAGGCCTTAAAAGTTTAGAAATGTTTTATACTTAATTTAGACATGGAACGCTTACATTGTTATATGTTATATATCAAAGCAGACAGTTATGTCTCGTGTCACAGTCAGCGTAAATTAAAGTCAAATTAAAATGTTACAAAGGTCGTTCAACAATTAACATTAACAAAACATAAAATTCTCGTCCCAGCGAGATCTCGTTTTGAAGGTGATTATGTTTGTAAAAGATTAGTCTTTGGACCCTTTTTTATGTTGTCTTTATTATAAAACTCTTTGGTAATTCAGCGATACAGTAAATTTAGACATGCTGTGATAAACGATGGTATTTCAGGCCTTCAAACCATGTTTGACACACACGTAAACAATGTCCTTATTTATGAGAAAACGTTTGATTTAAGATTTGGAAAAAAAATACAAATACAATAAAATTTAGATTAACTTAAAATGGCATTTTCTTAACTTATTCAAACTTTATAGTGGGGTACATTTTTGGCTTTCCTTTTCGTTTGTGAGTACTACTGGAAAGCGCAGACGTCAACCTGAAAGGAACAGACGACATTTGAACTGTTGCAGACGATATCTAAAATGTTACAATTAACAGAAGTACAGGAGCAGGGTGATTTTTGAAGTGGACTTTTTACGCAAAATCAAATTAATACTATATATTTATACATCACCCGAACAATAATAAAATGGTTGCGTTGGTCTAACACTTATCAGGTGATCGGGCGCTTCAAATAGTTTCCAAATACTTTTACTAGTTTGACGAATGTCCAATTATTATACTGTTTAGCAGTATAATGAACTCCTTACAGGCATGGTTATATTCTTATTATTACATTTAACTAGTTTTTCGTTAGTTTACATATCAACCAGATGATATCTTCTCTCTGGAAAAACGTTACACTAGATTTGTGTCACTCTATACTTTCCCATCTGTCAAAGTGGGCGCGTACGGTGTAATTAACTTGTAAACCCAATTTTCAATTTTCATGTCAACTAGGGCGTTTGCCTGTAATCATTTCTGATTCCTTTCCCACTTTTGTTTACATTAGATTTCAAATTGAATAACTTTCTGGCAACTTCCGTAAAACCCGTTCTCTAGACAATAATGATATCATAAACATCTATCCCGGGCAAAACCGTATCATCTTTCGGAACGGCGCGTCTGGCTATTAGCAAATCCATTGGTTCATTAACTATGATGGTTGGAAATTCTATCATGACTTAACCATGTCTTAAATTAAAATCCTACCAAGCGTTACTGACAAAACACCATTCAAGTCGGTTAATTAGTTTTAATTGAGAATGAGTGTTGATATTAGGAAGTCACCTCAAAATTAGACTTCTTTTCCTTCTTTATACAAACTCTGTACCCTAAATATTATTTTACTTGTCAACGCTGCATATTAATGCCAAACCACCAGTACATACTTCTTGCATAAACTGTATAAAATGTATCATATTGAATCTGAGTAACACGTTTTTACTAAGGCATCATTTTATTTTTAGCAAACAAACAAAATCGTGAATTTCCGAAAAGTGTCTTTCATCCATCTTCTTTGACTATGTATTTCAATTTAATTTTCACATCATCTTGATAAGTGCAATGTGTGAATTTGGCTCTTAAAATAATCTTTTATCACTGTCTCTTCTTTAGCAATTGGAATAAGTCAAATAGCAATTAACTCGTATATTTTCCAATCTGATGTTCATCATGATATTGAATGGTATCTAGGGGTAAAAATCTCTCTAACTACCATTTTGTATTGGCCCCTCAAACCGTCTTCTATCACTGTCCCTTTTTTGTCATTGGAATCCTTTAAGGCTAGACTTTCATCGCTTGAAGTGTATGTTTCTAAACTATTAATGGCCGTATCAATTCCAAATATCAAATAGTCAATGATACCTTCTAATTTGATTTTATTTGACTGTAATTGAATTCGACATCTTTTCGTGTCCGAAACTTCACCTTAGATTAAATCCAAACTTCTGACAATTACACGGTTCAATTTCATCATAAAATTAATTTTAGGCCTTTTCATACATTCACACTTTGGTGTTTGTGGCCATCTTGGTCTAGTCGAATTGAGTATAGATAAAATCAACAGATGATACTTTTTAATTTAGATATGCTTTGTGAAAATTGCTATCTTCATTTCTGAAAGGCACCTTTTGATATGAACACCAATAACAATAAATTCTCTATTTTTCTAAACCAGGTCTAAAATCTATTTGGTCGTTCTGACCTATCGTTGCTTTGAGGTGTTATCGATTTTAGGTTGATAAACAGCAACTATGTCTCCCGTATCGTTTTTTAATTTTTTGATAACTGATTTTAGCATCCCTAAAATTAAGATCTTACGAATTTTATTTCATATACTGAAACCATTTTGTTAAATTTATATTTCATTTTTTTCACTTTAGCTCTATATTATAATTTTGATCTTTTTCTTTTTTCTTCTTCTTTTTTTTTGTATATTTGAAGCATACAATTGAAAAAATTAACTGAAGAATCCCTCCCAAATCCACGATGAAAATAAAGTATGTAGATACTTTTTAATGATCAGTGTATTAGTAACTAATGTAAATGACATGTTTACTTTGGTATCTTTGACCGCTTTAATTATACTTTAACCGCAGGACTGATGCAAGGAGTGGCGTTCATTCCCGATTTATTTTATCGATTTCTGATAAATGTTGAAAACTATTAGTAGATAAAACTTGCGTTTAAACACATAAAATTAAACGTTTGATTTGTTTTGCACTGTGGGCTAAGTAATTTATGCATGGACAAGAGTTTTATTGTCATAAATTTGTTGTATTAATCACGATTATTTGATCAATCGTAAAATAATTTAGTCAGGAATTCGCAAATTATTGAAATAGAGAAAGATCTTGCCACGCTTAATTTGTCCGTGCATCGCCAACAGAAAAAGTGACTAATTGCAAACTATGTTATCAAAGAATTTTAAAGAAGTTGTTATCAAAGTATTGTAAGTACTGTATAATGTTAGCTTACGGGCCATATAAATGTTGTTCGGAAATGAGAAATAACAAAATGATGATTGAAACAATACGTGTATATACTTTGCATATTCAAAGACATAGATATCAATGCTGATTAGAAAGATTTTTTTCATGTAAAACAAATTTGATTACATATTATTATCATAGTTAGTTGTCGATAATTTAAGATTTTATTAAGCGAGAAAATTCCATTACAACTATTTTGTTGTTATTGGTACAACAGAGTTTCTTATTAATAATTTATGTGAATATATGCAAATAAATGTAAATATGTACAAAAACTGCATTGGTTTTTTGTATCTTCATATTTCATAACTTGTTTATAATATGTTAGAAGATGCGACGTAATTGATTAATGAACATTAAAAACTTGTACAACAAATAAATGTGTACATAAGTATAATTTTTATATGGTAAAATATCTTTTTATTCTCCCTAACGTCTCAAGGCGCAGGGAAATAAAACAATTTATGTATTATTACGTAAGGAAACTACTTTAGGCTACCCGTCAATTTGTCAGACACCTTGATATAATAATGATGGAAGTTTTTATTTTCAAATTTAAATTGGTGACATTAATTCACCAGCGGCTATTCATGGTCAAAATATTACCAATTTTGTACACTTTATTTATCAAAGGAAATTGAAATAAAAGTAAATTGCGGTATAATTTGTCAAACGCGCGTCAAAAAATTATGAAATTTGAAGTCATCATTTAAATTTTAATTAGTAGTTTTAATCATTACTTTTTAAGATACTGTCAACAATTAAATATATTGAGAAAATAAGTGACATCAAGCCGTGATGGTTACGTCACTACATCAAGGTAAATTGTAGTTATTATATCAATTGTGTCTAAAGAAAACAGGCAATATAAAGAACTATCCTAAAGTGAATCAATATAATTATGGTAGACTTGCATCAAGCTATTTTACTTATAAGCCATTCTTTTTACTGTGGAAATACAAACAACGCCATACATTTATAAAATTTTATTTTGATCCATATTTCTTTAGAACAAACGAAGAAATAAATGAGAAAAAATACATATCGTCGTTGGGGGGTCAAAATCTCGTATAACAGTTTTTGCTACTTTTCAGGAGGAACATTTTTTTGATTTCTTTCTTTCTAAAAGAACCTTCTGTGGAAACAATTCCTGTATAGTGGTAACATGAATAGTACGTTTTAATATATAATTGATTTTTATGAGTTGGTTTGATCAGTTTTGACATATAGAGTGTACGACAATTTGACCTTAAAAAATAGCATATACGACATTTTGACCATAAGGGATAATCAAAGAAGTGCATTTATTTAGAAGTAGAATAACAATATAATATCATTTTCATGAACATTGTTTTATTTTTAACAACTTGAAACCTTGAAGTATTGATATTTAACTTGAACAAATTAAACAGAGTTGGTTAATAAACTGTTAACTTTTGACATAACAATTGAATTAAACATCAACTTTCCTCAGTCTTTTTATGCATTCACACACACACACACACACACACACACACACACGCACATACGCACGCACGCACGCACACGTACGCACGCACACTCGCGACGCGCACACGCACAGACGCACACGCACTCACTCACTCAAATCTTTAAAACTTTGAAATTCAACTTGAACAAATAAAACAAACAAAATTAATTAACTTCATTATTGACTGAAACATCAATCTTTCTCAGTCTTTAAATTCACTATTTATGAATTTAGTACTTTTTACTTCAAATGAATAAAATGGCACTTTCATATTACTGTCAAGAGAAAATTATAGTTTAACTAAGGTCCCATAACGAAACACCTGTATACATTTCGTTTTCATGTTTTTAAGAATCATGTTTCAGGTGGTCATAAAACCCATGATAATCCATTGGAAGAACACTTTTAAGTGCCTGTAAATGGTCGAACTTCGTTTTCTTTATCTTCAAAGGACCACCGTGCAACTTTGGTATTATCTCTGTATGTTTAACATAAGATTTTCTAGATTTTCTTGGAAGTTCCTTAAATGAGTCTCTATAATTCAATTTATAGCGTACAGAACCATCTGCTTCGTAGTGAAGAACTCTAATGTCACTAACCACTGGGTCTCCAACCCTAGTCCCAGGTCTAATTGAAACATAGTAGCCCAACTCCGAGTATGCTTTGAAAAAGTCGTAGCCAACGTATTCAACGATATATGGGTTAGAGGGACAGGCTTCCTTGATGAAGTCAACATACTGTTGTGGCACATAAACATTCTTGTTCTTTATTTTCCTCTCCACTACGCTGTGTACTGAATCCACCTCCATTTGAGTATGGCCTTTTTCGAGGATCTTTTGTGTGATTTCAAGGTCAAGAGTCATAGCCAAGTGACATAAAGTGTTTGACATTACCAAGTTCCTATTTTGATAGGTACATCCATCACTATATATAATGATGTGTTTGATTTCTTCATCTTTGGAAATCATTTTTTCAATGTAGTCAGCCAAGCAAGAAGCAAAGGAATTAGCCGAAAGATCCCCCATTCCTTCATGCCAAAAGTAGCAGGTCGCCTGCTTCGTTATAAGGTCATACAAAGTGAAATTATGGCATGCTAATTTGGTTTTATAATACAATGCGCTTGCATTCATTTTTGGCGAAAGTAGAACTGCTTGTACGTCCATTGTAAGAACTTTCACTGAGTGGTTTGTTTGACAAAATAACTTGTCACGGTTTTTCTCCTCTCGTGAATTTATTTTTCTATTCTGATGTTCGTTGTAAATATCAGCGGATATATTACCTGCATCAAAACCTACACAGATATCACACTGGTCCTTTTTTGGCACAAATAGACCAATATTTAGGCTCTCGAAAACTTCGGTAAATACTCTACGACTCGCACATACCCTTTCATTACAATGTTTCACGTATTCTTTATACAAGCAGGTCAGAGAGTTAAATACAGGTTCAAGGTAGGTCTTCGAAGTCGATGAACGGCAATAATGAGATTCCATTCTAGGGATGCTTTCAAGAAATTGCTTGACACTCATACGTAGCTGGCCGTGTCTTTCTTCTTGAGCTTTCTTTCTTGTATCTGAAAAAGAAAGGCATCAAATATCTTTTATAAAGTGCTAACAACACATTTAATATTTCAGTCAATCACTCATTCACTTAAACTGATACTCATTCATATTGTAATTCACTCACTAACACACACACCAACTCACGCACTCTTACGCACGCACGCACTAATTTATTCATTCACACTCCCACAAATTTATTCATTCACTAATTTAAAACTCACTTTTTTATATAGAGAAGAAATTGGGATTTAGAAATTGTATTAAACATTTAAATGGCATGTTACTACCTGACTGCTTCTGCTTTTTCTCAGCTGATCTATCTGGTACACCCGATATTGACTGTTCTATCCATTGATATACTGTCTGCTCCCCTAGTCCAAGAGTTGACAAAAATAGTTGTTTACATACGACAATACGCTCTTCATTAATTCTTAGATGGTATGTGAGGGTTCGAGTTCTTCTACTTGGTTTTCCATTTTCAAGTGTAGGTTCCTCCACTGCTTTAGCATTTATAAGCGAGTTTACATATACACGCCTTTCATCCCATGTTGTCATGTTTGTCCAAAAATTAGTAAATATCTCTCTCCTATCTGCTTCTGTTACGGTTTTGCAATTTTTTATATTAGAGGTTTGGCAGCGTGATGAACACCTTTTTTCAGACAACGTCCTTGCGGACTTTTCAACATGGAATCCCCACTTCCCATCCACTTTTTTCATTCCTTTGTATGCATTCCCTGACATACGCAACTGTTTATTACGATGTCTCTGCCTTTCTCCTTTTCCATTTTGTTTATCATTTGCCTTTACAGATTCATTTTCTACGGTTTCTTCATGATCAATATCGTCTTCCGATGGTGACGCGTATTCACCCTCTTCACTAGGATTATAATCTGGGTCATTTGCATCTTTGTCATTATTTATATCTTCATATTCTTCATTTTCTCCTAGATCCAAACATGTTTCATTTTCAACATTTGTTGTAATATCTTTTACACTATTTTTGTCTCTATTGTTTCCAATGAAAGAACTTTCACCTATGACAGAATATGCTTGTTGAAAGTATTCGTCAATCTCAGTTTCTTTACCACCAATCGATTCATCATTAACACCTGCTACAACACTGCCATTAAATTCATCCAATATAGTAACATTTGACTCTTTGCAATTCAGAGAAATATCTAATTCACTATTTTGATCAGTTGCTGCATTGGAACGATCATCAAACACATTTACACTGTTATCAGCGTTTACAATTCCAACGATCTTTTCAATCTCAATGTCAGTCTCAGCATCTCCACTTTGAACAAATATTTCAAGTTCTATAAAATCTTTATATATTTCAGTGTTTGACACCGGTTCACTGTTATCTAAATTGGCGCATGACTCATTGTTTTCTGTTTTCATTGTTGATTCACTGTTTTCAGCACAGATAATCGAATCAATTTTGTTATAGATTACAGATTCACTGTTTTCTAAAGTAGATATTTGCTCACTATTTCCACCATTTATAACTTGTTCAGTCCTTTCTGTATTAATATCTTGTGCCTTATAACACACAGATTCACTGTCTTCCACACACGTAGACCCGACTTCCATTGATTCATTATTATATTCTGTTTCTGAAAAATTTGGTTTATTACAAATATTTGAAGGTGTCAACTCATTGTAGTTTTTGTTGTTATTATTTATGTCATGGTTAATACTCGTATCAGTCACTTGTTCTTGTTCCATAACCTTTATGAGTTTTAAAAGAGAATTCTGAACCACCATTTTCTTAGCTAACACACGGCTTTCCTTTTGATTGCTTTGAGCAAAAGTTACCATTGTTTTGCCCAGTGGTAACATATTTGAAAAATAGTTAATAATTTACAATTTTTATCCCTGGCTCACAGACTGGACAGTGTATCCACTTTCTTTCAATGTATCTAAATGTGAATAATTTAATGCTTCATCTGGAAATGTTGGATGAATACATAATAGATGAAAATACCGTTCACAGTCAGCGAACTGACATCGAACATAAAACTGCCCATTTCTAAGAGAAATTAGATAAGGCCCAATGTCAACTACTTTTTCAAGAATATGAATTAACTCATTAATATCTGGTACAAACTGACAAATGTGACACTTATATTGTAAATATTCAGTTTCTCCCGTTGACTCGGTATCACTTTCTCCAGAATACTGTGACATTCCGCTTAACCGTATCTGAAAATAAAATTAAATCGCCATTATGATTCTAGATGAATTAAAACACCTATTTTTAAGCTATTTCAAAACATCGTATTTCGATATAAAACGGGAAGAAAATGAAATACCAAATAATCGTATCTCGTAAAATCTCGTATCTTGATTGCTAGTATCTGAAAAATGAAATGACAAATTCTCGTATCTCGAAAAATTACATCAAACGTCAGAAATCGAACAAAAATTATCTTTAGCGAAAATTAATATCTTTATTTACGTTTAATTATTTCAAACATTAGTAACGATTGAAAGAATTATATACAGATAAGCAATGAAAATTAATGTATTTTTTTCTATCAGCCGCAATAGGACACTTCTTTGAACAGATATGACTAAGCATATTTATTAAAACCTTAAAAAGTAGGTAATTTAGAAAGTACAAAAATAGAATCTACTTAACTTACCGATTTGAATGTAAAAAACAATTTATCCAACGTTCTCCGTCAACATATTGTGAAATTTAAAAGATACGAGGTTTTGACAAAAACAACAAAATCATCCAATCGACACACGAGATTTTGTCACGTGACAATTTTCGCCTTTTCCATTGGTGTAGAGCTACACTATTTTGGGAGACGGTGCGCTGGTATGTTTAAATTTTCGCGGCATCAAAAACCCATTTTGCTAAAAAACCGAGTTACGATATTTTGACCCCCCACCGACGATATACAATGGATATCACACTATATACCAAGGGCAAGGGTGCTTTTTTGGTTAAAGTCGTAATTCAAAGGGTGTCTGCTTTTGAAATAATTATTTTTTCTATTTAAGTTTATTTCAGATGAGTAAGTCAATAAATATAAATTAGCAGCATATTCTGAAAATATTTATTTCCCTGAAAGACTAATTATTTTCAAATTATATTTGTATAATACAGTAAACAATATATGAAGCACCCATTCTTAATAAAATAATAACTGTACCCACACAGCCATTATTTGTAACAACAAAATTTTCCAATTCTGGTCTCGGCGTGTCTCGGTTATACTTCTTTTATAAAATAATGTTCACGAGTGCTTCTGTTGTTGTTTTTGGGCCAAAAGGTGGCGCTATATCTAATTGTATAAGATCTCCCATAAATGTCGAATAATTCTGATAAAACATATCTCATTCGCATCAAACTTTGGCATTCGATGTGCTCTATCAAAGCTCAGAGGAATCATTAAACGTTAAATGACGGCTAATTTCTAAACTATCAGTTGTATCAAAATAACAACGCACATTTAACGGTTGCAAAATGGAAATCTGCGGCAATTTATAAATTTGGCACGTATCTATTAGAATAAGAAGAACATTTATTACTTGCACGAAGTTTACGCGTAAGTCTGCTATGATAAAAATACCAACAGATGCTCTTTAGATAATTATTTCTGTAATAAGCTATTTGTATGATATATTTTCACCTCAAAGGGCTAAATTATATCAACAAGCTTGACGTTTTGTTCAGACTTTAATAAAATGCATATAACGTTCGAATAAAAACCAATATTAGCCAACTATTAAATAGAAATTGAAATAAATATTTATATGTAATTTTCCACTAAATAACCCTTTTCTACTTTGTCACAAATGTTTGATTGTCAATATAACGTAAAATGTCAATATTAGTCCGCGCAATTGATTACAATAATTGATTTGGTTAATAAATCATAAGTTCCTTAATGAAATTGCGAACATGTTTTTAAAAAGCAATATTGTAAATTGACTCAAAATCGAACATTTCGCAAAACTTGAATAATAAATGAAAGAAATATCCTTTTTCAAACGTTCAAATTTTACATTGAATTCTCCGAATATTATTTTTATCTTTACCCGTCTGCTTAAAGATGTATTGCATAATTAGTTCAAACAGAATTATGAAATAAATTAGCATAATTCAAACATCATAAAATATCTCAATTAAGTTAAAATTACTTTTGATTGTTTCAAAATGTGTATGTTGGGAAGCTGGTACTTGGTGAGACGTGAAATTTTTTTTGATTTATTATAATGTTATATGTATAATATTGTATGTGCAGAGTATTGTGAAAGAAAAATGTTTATTATTTATAAATTCTATATGTAATTATATATACATGTACATTTGTATATATGAATTCTGCATGTATGCCGGCGTACTAAACCGAAGCGTTAAGAAAAGTTTACTCTAACATACACGTACGTAGATGTAAAGGTTGTTAATAATTGAAAAAAAATCGACATGGATGGGTACAGTCATACATGTGTTGACAACGGATTCCTAATGTTTAACGCGAAAAGAACGACACGTCTTCTTATTTATCTGATCTCCTCGCCTCAAATCCGAAAGTATACGGAAAGAGCCGATGTATGGCGATTGATCTCCGTGTATGATAATCAACCCAATTCAACATAATTCAACACAAGAACGGTTACGTATTTCTAACCATTCATTGAGCAAATTTCACATAATCTTGATAATTGACATTTTAGAGACGGTCAGTTGAAATATTCCAAGTTCCCGAGATAACTTGACGGCCACAAATGTCTTTAAAGATAAGCCTCCGACCAAACATGTTTACAAATGAGTTTGTAGTTGTTTGTCGTACGCATTGTAAAGGAAATTATGGTATTATTGAATTCATTAGATAATATGAGGTTAGAGGTATACTGTATGAGGTCTGTACTCTCAGTGCCTGAAAAGTCGGGTAGACACAAACTCCGCGCATCGGTTACGCTACGGCCTGTAAGGGGAGATTACTGCGCGGGAGATTGGGGTGGACCCTTATTAAGCATAAAATAAACAAACACACACACACACACACACACACACACACACACACACAGGTACATGTATATGTATTTTTAAATTGTCCGATATGAGCCGTCGTTTTATTTGAATAACAAAATAAGAAAAAAATATATGCATTTTATGCTGTCAACTCATAAGTTTTCCAAACTTGCTTTCTTGAACTATCTTACAAACAGACAAAGCAGTTGTTGGCTTAAGTACTTTATCTTAGTTTGATTCGGAAGTCGTTACAAGGTATACAGAACTTCTTTTGAGATACATTCTCTTAGAGACAAAGAGCTTGGTTGATGCTGAGAGGTATTGCTCTAGGAACGCTCATAGTGAAGTTTCAATTTTGGGAATAATCGATAATATTGTTATAAAGAGGTTACTGTTCTACAGAGGGTCGCTATGCAGGAGTGACACTGTTTCCTCTTCTTGGAACTAAACGTTTCTGATGTCATATTCACAACCGCAGTAGGATTCGACCCACGAACTCTGGGCTGAGAGGCCGACACCTTAAGCACTAGATCCTCCTCCCCGCTTTCGGTTTGAGCTTAAAAATAGTGTTTATTTGTTTAATTTTAGAGTGCGAAGTTTATAATTGACACCAAAACATGGTCTAGATACGGACATTATAAAGTTATTTATATTTTTTTTTATAAAACAACAACAAATAATAACAGCAACATTAAATAAAGAAATACAATAACAGTGAATTTAGAAGTAACAGAAATATTGACAGTAGCCCACAGCAAGAACTATCATCCATGTATTATGGTATCAAAATATGTGCACTAATTAAAGCAGGAATGTGTTTGCGGACTATTCTACGCTTTGATCATTTTATCAGAGCCTGTTAACTATGTCCAGTAATCAGGCAAACTACAGGACACTTTTCATTCCGTAAACTTGTTGCGATTCGGAAAATTCTACTAATATCTGAGCCTTGATACTTTTAAACTTCTTAAAAGCATACCAAAACAGAATGACTTTGTGATGTAGTTTAGCGTTACACTAATTATGTAACATGTTAGGTAATATACCGACTCGGCGACCAAAATGAGAGGGAACAAGAAGAAATCAACGGCTGCGAGTAACGGCTTTTCTTCCAGACACATTGTTAAGCATGCGATTCTCTTCAAATGCACATGTAAATTCTAAACGATACATTGATAATCGGTACGTCTCGAAGATAGTTATCTGAAAATTCATTAATTGACGAAGAGTACCGAGAAAGTACGATTAAAAAATTAAGTTGAAACACAGTCTGGTGTAATTTCATAGTTCAATATCAATCGGATACGAGCCTTGTTAGGTCGCTCCAAAATGCTATTAAAATCCCATTAGCACCGGAAAAGTGATGTTAATAATTTCATTCTACATTGCAATCCAAACTAATGTCTTTATTCGAAGCTAAATAACAATATGGATAACAATTAGTTTGTTATTGCTGTTATATCATATTCGGAATTAATTTTCCCGGCGATGTGAAGGTACTGCTAGGTGTTTTGACAGACTTGGATGATATATGACGCACTAATGAACTTATAAAAATGAAAATGTAAATGTCTTCTTCCCTAGAGATTTCTTGACAAATTATAAATTCATTTGGAAAATAGGCGCAAGTTTTCATTAAAATCGCATGAAACTGTTTCCATACGAAATCACAGAGCGTTGATACGTATAAATATTTTATGCTTTCATCACTGATGAAGCCGTATAGCTAATCTACAAAATTGACAATAAATTTTCATATCAGGCCATCTTTAAATTAATATTTGCTGCGGAATTGTACTTTTTCATCCAATCATGACAGTGCATTGTC